AGGCTGACTTCTTCACCTCCAAGCCTCTGTGTCCACACTGTGTTGCCTTCCCCTCCTTCTCCATGAACCAAGCATCTCTCCATTCCCCTAAAAAATGCTAATCTGTACACCTAAACCTTGCAATCCCTCTGTTCCTGCCTCCTAAGGACCATGATGTATCAAATGCTTTCTCAGAGCATCTTCAAATTTCCTCCTCTTCTTTATCGTCTAGAATCTTTCTGCTCCGTTTATGTTTAACTATCTCCTGTCATATATGTATGTGTATATATACATACATGTATGTGTCTTCACTTGTCCCTATACTTCCTCCATATTCAGCTCTATTTCTCCCATCTTTTCAGCTGAACATCTTAAAAGAATGCATATTCCACCTCCACCTCTCAACCTCCCTCATCCAGCCACTGTCATCATTCGGGCTTCTGCCTCAATCTACGAAGAGTCCACCCAGTTGACAAATCAATGGATTCTGTATAACTCATCTTACATGATCTATCCAAAGCTTCTGAAACTGTTTGAATCTTGTTTTGAATCTTGGCTCCACCATTTACTCTCTCATGAGTTTGGACATGTTATTTTCCTTATCTGTAATTCAGTATCCTCAATTATAAAATATGGATAATAATAGTATCTACCTCATAAGACTGCTGTGTGGATTACATGGGTGAATATATATCATGCACTTAGGACAAATCCTGGGGCACAGTAAGCATTAATACAAATGCTTGCTGCAGTCATTCCTATAATATTACTATTAATACCATTATCTTTATTATTGTAACCCCAACCTTCCTTAGCTGCTATAACACTGTCATCCTGACTGACCTCTTACCTCTCAGGCAGCTCTTTCCCATTCTCCTTCCCAAGCTCCTCCAATTCTACTTCACCTTAACTATTGGTATTCCTCACACCCTATCTTCCATCACCTTCTCTTCTGACTCAAATATTTTCCTCCAGTGCTCTCACCTACTCCTGATGATTGCAACCTTCATCTTTTTTTTTAATATATTTTATTGATTTTTTTACAGAGAGGAAGGGAAAGGGATAGAGAGTTAGAAACATCGATGAGAGAGAAACATCGATCAGCTGCCTCCTGCACACCCCCTACTGAAGATGTGCCTGCAACCAAGGTACATGCCCTTGACTGGAATCGAACCCGGGACCCTTCAGTCCATAGGCCGATGCTCTATCCACTGAGCCAAACCGGTCAGGGCGCAACCTTCATCTTAAATATATACTCCTACTCCAGCTGTCTTCTAAATCCAGACCTTTATGAATATTCAACTGTCCACCAGACATCTCCACAGGCACCTCAACTTATGTCTAGAACTAAACTCAACATCTTCCTTCTAAGTCTTGCTTCTCCTCCTGTATACACATCTCAAAATATCACCACTATCCACCTTATTGTCCTAACTAGAAACCTGGGTGTCATTCACAACTCTTCTCCCTGCAACCAGTCACTAAAATCTTTTGATTCTACCTTCTTCATATCTCTTCAATCAGTCTTCTTTCCATTCAATTCCTCTCATCATTTCCAAAGTCCTACTGGTTTTCCTCCTACCAGACATTTGCCTATCCATCTGCTAATGGCAGTCATCTTCCCAAAATAAAAATCTAATCGTAACCTTCAAGATGCAATTCAGCACTACCTCCTCTGGGAAGCCTTCCCAAACCACCCCACTCTGAACTGGGTGGTTATTTGTGCTACTGGAGTTCCTGGAGCACACATCCAAAAACAGCCATCATCACAGCATTCATCACTCTATATGCACAGGGTACATATGCGTGTTTGGAAACATCTAGCGGGTAGAAAACAGGGCATCCTACAATGCATAGGACAGACCTTGAAACAAGGAATTAGCATTCCCAAAACATCAGCAGTACCAAAGTTGAGAAAACCTGCTGTATTAGAATGATCTGACTACATGTCAATCACCCCCAGGAGACTGTAGGTATCTTCAGGCAGAGTCTATGCTATATTAATCTTTATGAAGGCCTTATGCCTAATATAAGACCTTTTCCACAACTGAGGCTCAGTACATGAATATATAGAACTAAATGAACATTTATTCCCCCTTTTACTTACTCTGTAAGAAAACTTGAGCTTTCGAATCTCAGCTTCCAGCTTGCTCTGGTATGACTCATGTCCTTTCACATGGCTCACACCAATATTTTCAACTGCTTTTAGCACTAGAAAAAAAAATTTAATAAAAGAAAAGTATATAAATGCAAGATAATTTTTAAAAACTAAATTCAAGACATAAAATCTATGAATGGCAATTGAATAATTATTTCTTTATAAAAGATGACACGTGAGAAGTTATTTTCTGCAAGTACATAATATAAATTATATCCTATATAATAAAAGCCTAATATGCAAATCAACTGAACAGCAGAAAAACCGGTGGAATGACCGGTCGCTATGACACACACTGACCACCAGGGGGCAGACACTCAATGCAATAGCTGCCCCCTCCCCACAGGCCCCAGGCCAGCCAGGGCGGGGGTCCCCCGATTGCCCCACAGATCAGCCTTGATCGCTGGCCAGGCCTAGGGACCCTACCTGTGCACACATTCTGTGCACCAGGCCTCTAGTATGTTTATAAGAAGCTAACCACCATTCATGTATAGAAAAGATCAAGGCCCCACAGCATAATTTAATACCAGGGTCTCAACCAGGGGGAAGAGAGGAATGGTTAACCACTGCTGTACTGAGCCACTGTGGTTGAGGAATGGAAAAGGGTGTCCGTATGGAGAAAGACTAAGCACCCCTTGTTTGTATCCCTCATGTGGAACTGCCTGTTAGGTGGTCTACTTCTATTTTCTCAGCATATACTCATCAGAAAGATAGCCCTTCCTTTCTGATGAAGCAGAGAAGACACAATACTGAAGAAGCAGGACCCTCCAATCATCCAAACACTCTCTAAATAGATGCTACACCATGTTTAAAAATTCCTACAGCCCCTTGTCAATCCTTTTTCAGATGAATTCTTCTTTCATCAATACAAAGAGAGGCTTTTTTTTAATTCAAGAATTAAAAACTTCTCAAATGACTCCTGAACATAAACCCATGTCCCTCGGGTACCTCTTTTTATGGCATACCAAAGCAAACTAATAATCTCCCCCCTGCACCCCCCTTTGCTGCTCCTCTTCTGGCTATCTCCACCTCCACTAGCTTCAGCCACCACCACTACTAGAGCCCTTAACATACTAAACTATGATTATTATTTTGCATCTCTGCTTCCATGTACTAGAATACAATTTCATCAAAGATGAGAATTACAATATTCATCTCAAAATCCCTACCACCTGGAATAGAGTGGACTCAATAAATATGAACTGTCCAGTAAATAAACGAACAGCAAACCCTCAATAAATATTTGTTGAATAATTCCTTAATAAAGGAAATATATTAGCACACTCATTCTCACAAAGTATAAGTGAGATCCTCAAGAATACGTAAATTCTAATTCAAATATCACTCACATTTAACTCTATCGAAAGCAAAGTTTTCAAACTCTATCAGAGATATGTTTTCAGTAGGTGGCTGCAGGTAAAACTGAAGGCAGTGAGGGTAAGCGTTCCTCTGATCGACTGTCAACTTCAGTCTCCTCCTCTTTGCTCCAGTAAATTCCATCTTGTTACCCTTATCAGGAAGCACCTAAAAAGGTTGAAATGATGGAAAGTGGAGTTGAAAACAACCAACCAAAAACATAAACAAAAATAATACGTCTACACGCACAGAAAAAACAAACAGTGAAGTTCAAGGGCATACACCAAAGGTTAACAGTGGTTACCCCTGGGCGATGTCTTTCTGTATTTTCCACATTTTCTACAATACACCTTGTAAATGGTTGAGGGTGGGGGCCGGGCTGCTAGGGAAGACGCAGGTGGTGATGCTAACTTCCAGCAACATGAGAGCCAGGTGCTGGTGCTGCTCACTGGAAGTCGGTGCACCTGATCTCCGCTGCCCCGCGTTTAGATGAGGTTTCCTAAGGGGCTGCGATCCTGAGCTCCTTGGAAAGCGCGGTAGGTTCTAACTAGTAAGAAACTTACTGGACCGGATCCAATTACAGTACTTCCTTCCTATCTTAATGACCCCGGGAAACAGAACTGTTTTTGAATCCAGTCTTTCAGAACTCCTTTTAGGGAGCATCCACACGTTCCGTATAAAAATCCTCCCCCCACCTCCCACCACCACCAGCCTCCTCCGGCGAAGCTGTCCCTATTCGACTCACGGGCGCCTGAGTCTCAGCCCAACAACCGACACCCGAGCCAGATCAATCCCTCCGCTCCCATCGCCCGCAAAGAGCTCTCCCTTCTGTCTCCACCTGCAAGTCTGAACACCAGACTGCCGTCGGTTCTAAAGCCACGGGAGCTGCTCTTACCTGCCACCACTCCGAAAGCCAGGAGACGCCAAAGCTGATAGCAGCTTTTTCCCGGTGGCGGGAGATTTCACTTAACAGGAAGCGGAAGTGACGGAACAGGTCCCGCCCCCGAATGTCCCGCCTTCGCAACACAGCCCGGTGCGGGCGGAGGGCGCCCACCTGGACGCCTGCTGTTGGGGGGAGTTGGTAGCTCTGGGCGGTGGACGCTGGGGTGCGGGATGCTGGCGCCACAGGTTTCCGCGGCCGGAGAGGGTGGCCCCGAGGACTCCGGGGACGCAGCGAAGATCCCAGGGGATGACATTGTGGCGCTCTGACCCGCAGGGCTGAGCGCCTGTCACTTTCGATCGGGGAGGTTAAAGAAGAGGCCTTTACTGACTTCATTTATTGCACCTGGACCACTATGAGGAGCTCCAGTTCAGTTACATTTCTTTGAGAATTTTGCATTTTTCAGTTACAGTTTACATTCGATATTGATTTGTATCAGTTCCAGGTGTCCAGTATCGTGGTTAGACAATCGTAGACTTTACAAAGTGTCCCCTTCCCCCCGCCCCCAGAAGCTCTGGTTTTTCTTGTTTAATCTTTCAGGTAAGTGGTATTACTCCATTTTACGGATGAGAAGGCAGTAGCTAAAAGATGATTGTTCGTTTGCCCATCTGTGTACAGTGCGTATTTTGTTTTTCCTGTGAGAAGGCAAGCCCCATCACGTTAGCTTCTACCTTTAGTTCACTACCCTCCACCCCAGCTCCGCCCCAACGCCTGGCGCACAGTGAGCGAGCAGAAAAACATCTGGAATTAGAATGAATAAGTGAGTGCGCACACACAGAAGTCGCTCTGGGATCTGCAGAAATTAGAAGAAGGCGGGCTCAGGGGGGAGAAGCAGGTGTGGAAGAGGTGGGACGCCAGGGGAGAAAGTGGAGCTCGGACTGCGGATCATTGGAAGCGGCGGGTGGGAGCCACACAGGCTCTGCAGTCTGCAGGGTTTTCAAGAGCTGGAAAGAAAGCACACGTGTGTCCTCTAGGGGGCGTGTCTCACCAACAAAAGTGGGGTTAGTCCGTTGGAGGTGAAGAACGCTTGAAACGTTCAAGTTTTCAGAAATGCAAAGTATAATGAAACAATATCAAGCTTCAAAGGACCTAGCCCAGCCAGCATGGACCAGATTGTGGCTGGCACTGACTTTGTGCCAGGATGTGTTCTAAGTGACCTACATGCTAACTCATCGTATTCTCATAACCATATGAGGTCGGTTCTATTATTAACTCATTTTACAGATGAGGAAAGCTAAAATGAAGTAACTTCAAATCACATAATAAGTGACAGCCAAATTCAATGTCAGAGAGATTGTCTCCAAGCACCAGGGCGCTAACTACCACACACCCTACTAGTAGACAGCTGTACGTCAACTTTAATTCCTTCCTCCCTGTATTAGACACATAATTTACACATCACCTAGTCCCCTGGTCGGCAAACCGCGGCTCGCGAGCCACATGCGGCTCTTTGGCCCTTTGAGTGTGGCTCTTCCACAAAATACCACGTGTGGGCGCACACAGTGCGATTGAAACTTCGTGGCCCATGCGCAGAAGCCTCCCTTATCCTCTCCCTTGTCCTCTCCCTTCTCCTCTCCATGCCCTTGACCTGAATCAAACCTGGGACCCTTTAGTCTGCAGGCCAACACTATCCACTAAGCCAAACCAGTCAGGGCTGTTTTGAAGGAAGATAAAACAACCTCAAAAAGAATTGTTTTCAATTTTCAATTGAAGGGTTATTTTAAAGCAAATAGATGAACCTGGTGAAAGGGAGAAAGGGAGAAAGAGAGTGAGGAGGGAGTGTGGGAAAGAGAGGCTTTGTAATGACTTCCATGTGAGGACAGCCTGGAACCCCTTTCTCCAACCTCATCTCCTTCCATCCTTTCTTTCACTTTATGGTTGGAACACATCATAATTCCCCAACTTGTACACTATTTCAAGCCTCTGGGGTCTTACTTGGACTGCTCTGTGTCCAAGTAGAGTTCTTTTTCCCTCCTTCTGGTAAGGATTCAAAACCCTCTGCCTTTCTCCTTTCCTTCTTGCAGCGGTTCTCAACCTGTGGGTCGAGACCCTTTCACAGGGGTCACCTAAGACCATCGGAAAACACATATATAATTACATATTGTTTTGTGATTAATCACTATGCTTTAATTATGTTCAATTTGTAACAATGAAATTGGGAGTCACCACAACATGAGGAACTGTATTAAAGGGTCGCGGCATTAGGAAGGTTGAGAACCACTAGGGAAAAAGAAGAGAGGAGTAGAGCCCTGACTGGTTTGGCTCAGTGGATGGGGCGTCAGCCTGGGGACTGAAGGGTCCCAGGTTCGATTCTGGTCAAGGGCATGTACTCTAGGAGAGTCTTTCTAATTACCTTTTCCTGTCTGTGTGAGGCACCCTCCCCTGGGGCCCAGTGCTATCCTGTGCTTATCTCTGTCATAGTTCTAGTCAGAGTGGATGGACATAATCACTCTTTTCTAATTAGATTGTGGACTCCTCAAGGACAGGAAGGTCTCTTACTCATTTTTTTAAAATATATTTTTTTTATTGATTTCAGAGAGGCAGGGAGAGGGAGAGAGAGATAGAAACATCAGTGATGAGAATCATTGATTGGCCGCCTCCTGCATGCCCTCTACTGGGGGTCGAGCCTGCAACCCAGGCATGTACCCTTGACTGGAATTGAATACAGGCCCCTTTATTCTGCAAGCCAATGCTCTATCCACTTAGCCCAGTGGTTGGCAAACTCATTAGTCAACAGAGCCAAATATCAACAGTACAACGACTGAAATTTCTTTTGAGAGCCAAATTTTTTAAACTTAAACTATACAGGTAGGTACATTGTTATTAACTTAATTAGGGTACTCCTAAGCTGGCCTTTGCTAAAAACGTCCTCAATCTGACTGAGGTACGTTCGCTGAGGTCAACCCCTTCCAACTCTCCCATCCACACTCGTCTTGTATACTTGTTTCGTCTATCTCCTTTCATTCACCCTCTCTATATGTCCAAACCATCTCAACATACCTTTCTCAATCCTCGACACTACATCTTCTTTCGCTCTACAACGTTCCCTAAAATTAACTTAATAAACTTTACTTAAAGTTTTAAGTCTTAAACTATAGATACGTTGAATAAAACTTGATATCATACTTAATAACGATATTATTTATTGATAAAATTAAATTCCTTACAATTTACCTTACAATATCCATAAAATTAAATCATGACAATGACTGACAAACACTAATGTGAACAATGGCCTTGCATCTCCTTGAAAAGTTTGGGTAAGACAGGTTTGTATGTTGTTGTTTTTAATTTTAGGCACTATTCCAGGTACTCATCAATAAGACGACTTCTCAATTTACTCTTGATAAGGTTCATGCTTGAAAATGATTGTTCGCATAAATATGTAGACCCGAATAAGGAAAGAACAGCAAACGCTAGTTTTTTCAGTTGATTATGAGAGTTAGGAATAGTATTCCAGGTGTTAAAAATCAATGTATCTTCCTTCTCCAGGTCTTTCAAAGCAGACCACTTGTGCTGTGAACTAAGTTCACATTTGTTTTTCTCCAATATTTCTATATCAGCACAAAGACGTTCAAATTTCGAGCTCCACAGTTCTTTGTTTTTTAAATCCAGCAATTGCATTTCAAAGTTGCCAATGTCAATATTAAAGGGAGAAAAATTTAATTCTGTTACAGTAGCATTGAGAGGTTTTTTAACAAAGGCTAACGTCGCTTTGCTGTTTCTGAATTCCTGAAACCTGTTGAGAAAAGCTTCCCTCATATTTAAAAGTGTTGTTTTGAAATAGCAAATGTCAATATCAGAATTATTTTCTTGGCGATGTTTCAACAGGCTTGGAAAGTGAATCAAAGTTTCTCTTTCAAAATCTTGAGCAAAAAGAGATAATTTGTTTTCGAATGAAATAACTTCTAACATCGAAAAAACTGTGTTTCCTTTCCCCTGTAGTTTACGATTAAGCTGATTTAGATGAGCCGTAACGTCTACCATGAAATAAAATTTTTAGATCCACTGATCATTCGTTAGTTCTGGATAGTGAACACCCTTCTCAAGGAGAAATGCTTTAATTTCTGTTAATAAGGAAGCAAAACATTTCAAAACATTTCCTCTTGATAACCAATGTACCTTGTTATGCAGCAGAAGGTCTGCGTACTCACTCTCCATTTCAACTAAAAATTCTTTAAATTGGCGATGATTAAGAGCTTTAGCTATAATGGAGTTGATAATCTTAATCACCAATTCCATAACTTTGCAAATTTCTTCTGGAAATGTCTGCACACAAAGCGCTTCTTGAATGATGCAATGGTAAGTATCTCGTGATTAATTTTTTCTTTCAAAATAGCAACAAAGCTGTTTCTTATGCCGGTCATACTTTTCGACTCGTCTGTTGAAATTGAGACAATTTTATCAAGTGGAATATGATGTTTTTCAATGCACTCAATTACAGCATTTGCTATACCTTCTCCACATGTTTCACCTTTGAGTGGCAATAATGCTAAAAGTTCTTCTTTAGGACCTGTAGATGAAATAAATCGTACAAAAAGTGAAACTTGCGCTGTATCATTTATGTCACAAGACTCGTCAACTGCTATTGATAAAGCTGAAACCAATTTAAGATCTTCGACTTGCTGGTTGGTTATATTCGAAGACATTTTGACTGTTCTATCTTTCACTGTTTTAGCAGACAATAGTAACTCTTTAATTTTTTTTTAGAATATATGCTTTGTTCTTAAAATCCTGAAATAGCTCTTCGGATGCATTTGTAAAACAACTTTTTATGTATTCGCCGTCTGTATATGGTTTTCCTCTCTTAGCAATCTCTTGACTAACCACAAAACTTGCAATATTAACATTGTTGGAAGATTGCATCCAGTAATTAAATACAGAACTTGATTTTTCTTGACTCTTCTGAAGTTCCTCAACTGCTTTCTTCCTTGCATCACCAACAGGATATTTAGTACTAAATGACACGTGTTTAGTTGTAAAGTGTCTCT